CAGTATATTCATGGAACGCCGAACTTGCGATGCATGTGGACCATGTGGGGGTCGGATTTCACCCTGGTAAGATCAAAGCTGAATATGACTAAGTGTAGAGACTGAGCCAGAAATGACTGTACGAACCCAGCTATCCGGTATCCGACGAGGTTACATATCCCACGAGGCGGATTGCACGACCATGCTCAAATGACAAGCCTGGCGAGACTAATGGTACTGCCTAGTGGGAAGGATACACTTCCATTGGAGAAGTGGGCCGACATAATCAAGAAGCCCGAAAAGCAAGCCCGCGATAAAGTAAAGCCCTGAAAGTGACAAGGCGGGCTGAGTCCAAGACATGACGAGATGGGCCGAGCAGGCCGGTGCAGCCCACTAGACGTAGGCGACCTCAAGGAAAGGAAACTCTAAGAGGATAAGGAAAACTCCCTGTTTTCTAGGAGGTTAACCTAGTCGACCTCGTTTACTATATATACCAATGTATTTTCCTTGAGAAGGGGATCCGCAATTCTTTACACCGAAACTCTTGTATTCTTAAGTTTTGACAGAAACAGCAATAAAAATCATCTTCAATCCTTTATGTTTGTGATTTCATACTTGGAAGACTCAATCCTCTTGAAACTCTTGACAAATCTAGTTGTGCAGGTTCTACCATCCACAGTTTGGCGCCGTCTAAGGGGAGTGCAGATCTTCTTACTCAAAGGAATCACCTCACAAACAACCTAGAAGATGACCATCAAACGCATCGACAACGCTGATGGCGACAGACGCATCGTCCACACCGATGGCAACTGCGTCGACGACACTGTTGACAATCCTGGCGATAAGGAGATCCAAACCGATCTCACTAGGAACACTATGCAGAACGTCAACCGAGCTGCAACAAATGCGACGCCTCTACTAAAAGTGTTAAATGAGATCAAGGCGACGATGGACGCGATGTTCAAGACCAAGGAGAACCAAGACAAGGTCAACTCCGCAGTGACTGAGAGACTCGACTTCCTCAACGGCAAGCCACGGCCGAGGCCAGGGCTTTTTTAGGCAACCAGGAGGGCGACTCGCCCCGACCGCCCTCTTCTCAACGCCAGATAGCTCACGCAGAACTCGAACCTTCCTGCTGTTCTACACCACCTCGGAGACAGGCGAGGGAAGCCAAGCATGGCGAACCAACTGACCTCTAGAGTAGGATGAGCAGGCCGCAGACAGAGCACCACCGGTCATCAACCTCGACGAGGACGTGACAACCGAGGTCAACCCAGAAAGACGTGTAGACACCGAACGCACCGAGGCGCACCGAGTCAGAACAACCCGAAGAGTCGAGGAGACCGACCGCAATAACATCAACGATGAAGATCTCTTTTGGCTTCGGCAGCTTGACGACCGACGTGACGAACCACTGCACGTTCAGAAGGCCGAGATAGCCGAGATACGCACCAGGATGAAACG